TCGCTTCTCTCTCCTTCGTCTTCCTTCTCCTCGCCCTCTCTCTCTCTCTCTCGTCTGCCCACTCACTCTCCTTACTTGCCGTTCCTTCCCCGCCCTCGTCTCCCGCTCCCCGCCTCCTCCCCCGCCTCGCCTCCTCCTCCTCCTCTCTCTCCGCCATGCAGGCACGCACCAGAGCCAATGCTCCCGTACAGCCGCTAGCCGTATCTGCGACCCCCTTGATCGGCGAGAAAATCTTAAAATCCCGCTGGTCTGACGAGGAGGGCAACCATGGTCAACGCTCCAGCCTCCTCCCCTCCCCGCTCGCCCGCAAACCCACCCAAAAATCCACCCTCAGCCTCCGCTCCGCCTCCAGCACCTTCAACAGACCCGACGCCCCTTCCTCCCGCCCCGCCTCTGCCCGCACCCCTCGGCCAATCCAGGCGCCCGATCCTATCATTACCATTTCCGCCGCGTCAAACACGAACAACACCACCCTTGACAGCGACAACCACTTCACCCCCAGCAGCCCACATCCCGCACCCCTCCCGACAGACCCCGCAGACACCTCTCTCGACGACGGCGACGACCTCGACTACGTCAACGTCGAACACCCTGGCCCCGACTCCAACGCCGCCGTCATCTCTCGCCCCGACAAGGCCGCACGCGTCCTCGGCATCAGGCACCGCAAGGAAATGGAACCCATCCCTGCCTCAAATCGTGCCTCCCTAGCCTCTGCCCGCTCCGCGCCCCCCGTCACCGTCACCGCGCCCCCTCCCGCAACCGGCCCCACCCTTCCCCTCGCCTCCCTCTACGTCGTCTCTGGCCTTCCAAAGAGCCCACACACTTGGACCCTCGCCGACCCCGACTCCGTCATGGGCCTCCACCACGCAGACGGCGCCGTGGGCAGGTGGTGGAGACCAGAGGTCCTCGGTAGCACCGTCAGCCCTGGCGCAGGCGGCGGCAGCGGCAAGCGCAAGAAAAAGGGCAAGGGCGAGGAGAGCACCACCGTCTTCAGCAGCTCCGGCCATCTCAGCAAGCAGGAAGTCGGCAAGATGCTCTCCAAAGCACTCAAGGTTCGTATCTCTCTCTCTCTCTCTCCCCTCTCTTACCTGCCCATTTTCCCTCATCTGCCACACAGCTCTCCTTCCCTCGCGAGGTCGAGATCATCGCGTCTACCCTCCAGCCCGCCTCCACCGTCCACAGCTTCACGTTCACCCTCCCCGCACCCGCGACACCCCTTGCGCCCTCTCCTTCTACAGATCTTCTCCGCGCCTCTGTCCTTTCTGCAAACACCGACCCCCACTCCTCCATCGTCTCTTTCCCCTACTCGTACAACGACGACCCCTTCTCCCGCGGCCGCCCATCCTCCGCCTTTCTCGGACCCCCCGTGGTCTCTCCGCACGCACACGGCAGCGGCCGCGGTTCCGATCTTGGTGCCGGCGCAAAGACCGGCAACAACCAGATCACGTACCACGGCGTCGTCCTCACCGTCTGGTCCCACGCCGACGCCGAGCGCACCGCCGCCATCCGCAGGACGCTCGAGGCCAGTCGCGCCCGCAAGGAGAGCGCACAGAGCCTCGTCACCGCGCGCATGAAAGGCCGCCGCCCGGGCTCCGACGCGGGCAGCGCCACAGATCCCACACTCCAGGCAAGACGGCGCGCGCGCGTGAGCTCCCGCGGCCCTTGGGGCACCGGCGGCGGAACGGACGTGGAGACGGACGGTGACGGTGAGACGGACGGTGAGGGCGGGGCCATCAGCGAGAGTGATTTCGATGTCGCGAGCACCATCGGCCACGGCCCCGGCGAGAGCACCCTGTTCTTGCCTGGCGACGCCGTGTTTTGGCTGCCGTATGCGTTGAGTGAGAGCCCTTTCCCTTGTGCTCCCCCCCTCTCCTCGACTGTTCCGCTGACCCTGCGTCGACAGCCCTCGTCTCGCGCTATCCCATCTACGATCTGATGCGCGACTACCTGACGCTCTCGTGGGCGCGCTTCTCCAAGGATGTGCAGTCGCACACGCTGCAGATCAGCAAGATCTTGTCGCACCCCGCGCCCCGGCCGGGGGAGCTCGTGCGGCTGGACGCGTCTTCGGCCCCGGCCTCGAACAGTAGCTCTGCTGTAGAGACGAGCCTGGAAGTCGTCGCGCGGTTCCCGGGCGGGCTGGACTTTGGACGCGGCCTCGTCGACGTCAACTTTACGATGTGGCCGCTGTTCAAATGCTTGAACATCGACAACATCCTGACTATATGCGAGGTGGGCTGGCTTCCATCAGTCCATCTTGATCATCCGATGGCTCATATGCACCGCCCGTAGATCGCTCTTGCGCCGACAGGAAGGATTCTCTTCTTCTCCCGCCACCCGGCGATCCTGGGCATTGCCGTGCACACCATCAGGTATCTTGTCGAGCTGCGCGGCTGGAGCGGTGTCGCCCTCTCCACCGTGCACTCTCGTGACGCAAAGATTTACATAGACGATCCTGGCCCGTGGATCATGGGTCTCGCCACCGAGGCCCGGTATTGCGTGCGCCCTCCTGCGGAGGTGTGCGTCGTTGACTTGTGAGTTGTTTTCGTTCCTCTGGCGGCTGCACACACACGCCTCACCAACTGCCCTCGAAAGGGACATCAACTATTTAAATTGTTCTGCGCCGCCGCCTGGCGTTGTTTCGGTAAAGCAGCAACGCGAAAAGTACCGGCAACGGCTGCTCGCTGCGTTTGAGCCCCACTACCATCCCGACCACTGCGTACCCAGGTTCGTGAGCGAGTGCTAGTTCGTCGACGCCTGTGCTGACGTGCCTGTGCAGCGAGTTCAAGGAGGCGTTCCCCGCCGGCCGATTCAGGCCTGTCTGCAAGATCCAAGCCAAGAGGGGCGCTGCCTCGACTGCCGTCGCTGACATGGTGAAACCACCAGAGTGGTGGCATTCGACGCGCATCATCCAGGCGTTCGACAACGTCCTGGCGGACAAGGTGAGCGGACCGCACGCATCCCTCGGCTCCGATCATGACGCGCTGAACGCGCGGTGTCCAGATGAAGAAGCCGTCCCTCCTCAAGCGGATCAGCTCGTTCGGATCCGTGCGGCCCCTGCCAAGGCTGACGGTCGCGGAGCAGCACATCCAGCTGTCCATCCGCAAGCGGGCCACCGCGTTCGTCGACGCCCGCGACGACCTGGAAACAAAAATCGGCCGCCTCTCGCGCCGCCTCAACTTCCTCATGACCGAGTCGGACCTGTGGCGGGACAAGTTCGTCACGTTCGAGCAGTATGCGGAGAAGCTGAGCGTGGAGGCCGGCGAGCTCCGGGCCAAGATCAACAAGGAGCAGAAGGAGACCAAGAGGCTGTCGAGCATGATCACGATGACCGCGGCCGAGAAGGCGAAGCTCCAGAACCGTGCGTTGACTGCTGCCCGTGTGGACGTGGTGCTGACTTTTTTTTTGTTTGCACTCGCAGAGTTGAGGGAGACCGAGGACGCGCACCGGACCGCGCTGGCGGAGCTGACCAACATGAAGGACACGATGGAGAGGATGGAAGAGGAGCGCGCGGAGATGATCGCCGAGGTGGAGGCGCAGATCGAGCGCGCCCTCGCGTCGATGGCGGTGGACATGGACGAGTCCGACTACGGCTCGCGTCCGAGCAGCCGCATGTCCTCCAGGTCCGCGCCCAGCACGTACCGCCGGCCCAGCGAGCGTTCGCGCGGGCTGCGCTCGTTCAGCACCGAGTCGACCTTGGCAGAGTCGTATGAAGGCGACGGGCGGGAGGAGCCGCAGACGAAGAGGACGACCGGGACCGTTCCCGAGGCAGACGAGGAGGACGAGACGCGTCTCGGTAAGAAGAAGCGCTTCTCTGCTGACTGGACGGACGGGCCGCAGGACATGTCGGCCGTGGACGAGGGCATCAGCCAAAAGAGCGACAGGATCACGCAGAAGGTCCTGCAGATCCAGCGCAAGGTGAGCTGGCCCCGTTTCGACTCGACTGATGCGAGACGTCTGACGTCGGTCGTTTTCAGCTCGAGTCCGCCCTGGCCGCAGATGCCCAGCGCCGCTCGCTCGAGGGCCAGCTGAGCGAGAGCGACCTGTCAGAGTCCAATCGCGCGCTCCGCTCCCGCCTCGCCAAGGGCGGCAAGGCGTCCGGCAAGCACTCGCGAGGGGGAAGCAAGAGGAGCTTCACGCTGTCCCCGCCCCGGACGGGCAGCAGCACGCCCGGCTTCGACGCCGCCGCTGCTGCTGCTGCTGCTGTCGTTTCCGATGCGTCCCCCACCTCGGCGACGTCCCACGAGGGGAGCAAGACCGAGTCGATAAAGACGATCATCCCGGACGCCCGCTCCGCGGCCACGCAGGACACGCAGCCGTTCGACCTCGCCGGGCTCCGCAAGATCCCCTCGGCCGTGTCGCTGAGCGCGACGGGGGCAGAGTCCCCGAGCCAGGCCACGCCCACGACCCCCTCGCTGTCCTTCGGCCCCACGGTCACGACAGACGACGAGGAGACGGACTTCCAGAGCGCGTACTCCACGAGCCCGCGCGGCAGCTACGGCAGCTTCGAGAACGTCACCGCGACGTTTGGCGTTCCCGGCAGCGAGCAGGGCACCCCCACGTCGGCCAGCAGGGGGCAGCACCACGCGTTCCACGAGCCGGTGTTCAAGGGGCGGGACCGCGTCTCCAGCACGAGCACCGCGACCGCCGCCGATCGCGGGATCAGGACGAGCGAGGACACCGTCATCACCGCTCGCGCGACCGTGCTGGGCAGCGTGTGAATCCCTCGCCGCCGCCCCCGGCTTTCGTGTATTTATTCATTCAGGTTATAGTTTCGTTCCTCCTCTGTTCCTTCCAGCAGGCCCCCGAGGCATTCTATGCATTTGACAGTATCCATCGTGTTACCCCGTTCATTTCTCGCGACCATTGCTATGCTCATTACTTGTCTTACTTTTTTAATTCGTCGCCATCCCTACCGTCCCTTGTTTGCATAGCATATCCCAGTGTCTATCTTGCGATTACTACGTGGAGAGAGATCTACCGATACATCTTCCTTATGCCTACACGTTCTCCGTGGTATCACGAGTCCATCCTCCGTCGGGCATTGAACGCCTTCACGACGGACGCAATCTGGCCGAAAAACCATGTCTGCGAGTTTTTGTCTGGAATGAACACAAATTTGTCCTGGTCCTTGCCGGCCTTGTGCGCGAACCTGATCCCGGTGTCTTCTGCCGTAACGCCTTGCACGAGAGCGAACGGCAGCTCCCAGTCTAGTCGGAGGTTCTTCGACCAGAAAGACAGTACCCTTGACGCCGTCAGGAGGACGACGTTGTCGCTTCCTGGGAGATCTAGGGATAATGTCAGCTTGACCCCAGACAGACGACTTTAAGAGAGGGTACTACTGACTGATGTGCGCCACGTACGGCTCCTGACGATATGCGCCGTTGTTCAGATCCTTCATCCAGTATTGGCCCAGAGCTTCACGTGCAGAGTAGGGCTGAATTACAAACCCTTTCAATTTCAAGCATCAAAGCGAGGACGAGGCCGACTCACCACCAGCACACCATCGGCGGGTATCAAGCGAGGCTGCGAAAAGCGTCAATCACGACTCCACAGCCCGATCTACCCGACTTACAAGTCGCAGGCGGTCTCTTGCAGGATTGTCAAAGACGGTCGTGGTGTTGCGAATGCCTGAAACCACATTGTCAGAAAAAATTCTCCTATATGTTTGCTGCCGCACCTTCGCTGACGTTGGAGGCCAGGTCAAAGACGCCTACCACAGGCTTGGTAATTGCCCTGCCCGCACAACACTGTGTCAACACAGTTCCTGAGCCTCAGGTTCTTACTTACCCGATAAGACCTTTGCCGACACCCTTGAAAAAGCCTTTGGCTCCTTCCGTCTCGGCGCCTTCGAGAGGTTTCATCTATAGATATCTTCAGCGTAGACATCAAGAAAGTATACTGGTAGCTTACAACGACACCCTCCATACCGCTGGCAAAGCTGTTGGCGAACGCTTCTGCCCCGGCCGCGACACCATATCTAAGTCGCCAATGTGAGCATGAGTAACATATTGAATCATAAAGGCGCGAGGCGCTACCCACATAGCGTGTCTGGGTCGATTTCGCCTCTGGTTCAGCCTTCGTCGGAGCTGGTACTCCGGATCGAATGTTGTCGCAGATAGTCCTTTGAACCACCAAAGTGAGCCGGGGTCCAGTTCACGCATATCAGAATCTTGAAATACCTTTACCAACACTGCTGGTGAACTTGGTCATGCTATCCGAGAAACCAAACACAGTCTTCTTCACGAAGCTGGCCGCACCCTTTGGAAAAGACCTCAGCCTCGCTGCCCCAACGAGTTTGTTTAGCGTACCTTGGCAATGCCCACGCCAAGCTCCGAGTTACCGTGCATCACTGCGCCATTAAATGGCTCATAGAAGATATCCGCGACACCAGAGCTGACATTGTTGAATAGACCGACAGGGTTGCCAATGAAGTCTGCGGATCCCAATATGCGATACAACTGCCTTAGCACTTCTTGGCGATAGTGGTGCATTATCCTGCTCTGGAGATCTGGAAGAGCGAGACGCATGTCCTTGATTGCCAGCGCATTCATTTCTAGCGGCGCATCGTTCACATTCCCAACAGCCATGGTTATGGCGTTGACAACGATCGCGAATGGGTTACGTATGCTAAGCCTGCGCAGAACTAAGTCTAAAACTAGGTAAAAGGAACTGGTGGTCACTCACGAATCTTCAGTGGTCGACCGCTCCGTGCGCATGAAGGATATAGAGAGTTTGATTGGCTGGAGCTCCAACACCTCAAAGTAAAGCTCCTGTCCGCTCGATAATGCCTGAGGCTCTGGAATTTCTCCAGGACATTGTATAAGAATGCTGATCAATTTCCGTTAGTTTGCTATCATTTATAGAACCGACGGGCTCACTCCTCTTGTATATCATCCCACGAGGCTCCTTTAATGCGTGTAAGGTCATATATTGCGTAGAGGAAATCTTCATCCGCCTCGATCGTCAATGCTTGCATGAGTATAGAGCAATACTTGACGAAGAATACACCGTGTTCTGTAATCAGTTTAGCTTCAATATCAATTGATCGCATTAAAAACCCGTCACCTTGATCTTTCAACCATATCATTGAACTTTGGATAGTCGGGAGCGACGCGACACCACTGGATTCTTTTGCGATAGGTGTTGGCTGAAGAACGACAGGGAAGAGAGCGTCGTGTAGCTGATTGTCCACCTGGAGACTACCACATGACAGGTTGAGATCCTGAGAAATAGGACTATCGGTATACTCCAGCTTCAGCCCATTCGCGGAAATATAGACAACTTCAGTCATCTTCCGATTTACCATCGAAAGACCTATGCCTTCGATATCCAACGACACAATCAGGGACGGATGTACTTCTTCTTGAACAACCTCAAATGCGTCCTGACTACTACTGATAGTGTCTTGTCTTGCTAACGTGACAGAATTGCTGCGTCTAGGCCTGTATAGACTTCGCTCGGGATTATAGTTAGTGATTCGCAGTATTTGCTTGTGACCATCCGCACGAACGTCCAATGAAACAGCACGGACGGTCTGTCGGACCTGCACTCAAAGATCAGCTTACTAGCATGACAGCCGCAGGGGGAGACCTACAGAAAATTTATATGGTATTAGGTCTCCGATTTCCATGATGTCAATGGCGCGGCGTGATCCATTTATGGCAAGGGTCAACTTCTTCTCCCTCGCAGCTGGGTAGTCCCATACGTAGTCTGCATTCGATTTGCTTGGAATAGAATAGGTCGGCATCTTATTGGAAGGCTCTGAGTCGGGTCGGGTTGGATCCTGTATGCTATGAGGCTAATTGCCAACAAAAACAGTGTGGGTGCAACTTACAGATTGACAGAAGGAGAAGGTATAGTCACTATCGTTTTCAATGATGAACGGTGATCCCTCTGTAGCTTGCGCGATGAAAACGAAGATTGTGGAACCTTCCATCTTTACATCGGCACGCATAAGATATGTTCTAGAGCTCTCTCCAGTCCCTTGAAGTCGGAAATGAACAGTGCCAATGTCTTCCATGTTGATCGGTGCAGACCTGCAAGACCAGTGAATTTCACAGAAGCTCGTATACGCGCCCTCTTACCATTGTGCATTCAGACCAGATATTGCAATCGTCAAAAGCTTCTCTTCTCCAACGCGCGTGAAGTCCAGAGAACAGCGTTCTTCAGGCCGAAGTACGGAGCGCCCTCGCGGAGCAACACCATGCTCACGGAAGGAAATAACCTCAGAGAAATTGTTTTTGATGATGAACCTCGGAGCGATAGTTATGATCTTTGTGAGTTTGTACTTTCCTAGGCCTTCTGACCATGAGATACCGACATGAATCTCTTCCGATCTTCGAGATTGTGAGGGAATGACGAGTCTCATATCAGCTGTGGGTGCCTCGATGTTTACAACCTAATGATCATACAAGTCAGATTCGTGCCCATGCAACGAGAACACACATACCCTTGACCAAACTGATTCCCCAACTTTGAAGCTGAATTCCTTGCCTGGGTCGTTTGAAGGAGACAGCACTATTAATTTGCCGTTCATTATCAACTTCTAGTGTGAAACGAACGTAGAAACTTACAGAATGGTGTAGGTTTCGAGAGAACGTCTGGATGGACACCCATTACTCGGAAAAATGCCAGTGAATCCGAGAACAGGATAACATACCAGGCCTCGTATCACCTGCCATATCTTGGGCACCATTGATTCTGTTCGATCGTCCCGGTTTTACCGCGAAAGGCAGCCCAGTCTTATTGATCACTAGATACGGACAATATATTTGAACCTTGAATGAGCCACCCCCATCAGGGTCCCGTCTTTATACGGTAAGCACATCAGTAGCACGCTTTAAAACAGAAGTTGAACAACATAACACATACACATAGTTTAGTCTTAGATCAAGTTTATGATCCAAGGAGTCCCTCAGAATCAGACGGCTTTCCACATCGAAGTCAGAATTTCCATCAGTGTTTATAATGGCAAATTCGCTCTGTTTAAAGACTGGACTCGAGTGCTTTAATAAGGAATCCTTAAATCCCGCTTGAAACGTACCCGTATCCTGTACTTGCACATTCAGCAACACAAGATGTCCAAGCTCAACGGAATGAACGGGCATTATTCCCCCCGCACGGAGATAACTTCGCCAGTTTTGATCAGCATCTTTATCATAGATTCGGTAGTCTATATTATATGGCAGTAGATTTTCTAGTTGTATAGGAGCCCGCAACTTGACCGTAATCTTTGGAATCTTTCTAAAATTAACAGAACAGAAGTCAGGACGTGCGTCTAATTTCGGCTTACTACATTCTTACCGTAGACTCGAATCGTTGGAATCGGTTTCAACACAAACCTGGAACCGAAAGGGTGCTTCGTTTGCATCTGTATGAGGGCACTTCAGCGTCATTCTTCGCTTAGCAATCAGGTCTTCCCAGCGCATGGCGTGAGACCACTTGTATCCAAAACCCTCTGAGAGACTTGTTAAACACAATGGCGACAGACAACAGCATTTTACGCACGATCCGGTTGAATTCGTAGCCTGTCTTTGTTCACAGCCTCGATTGGGAGAGTACAGTCCTGCCCCGGTGCTATTCAGAAACATTACCAGTTGGCTAGTCAACTTTGCGGGCAATGATAGTGACGTACCTATCTTCTCAACAGGATACACAGGTTGTCCAGCTTCGTCGACGAGAGTAAGCTCAAGAGGATATAAAGTATCATTGTTCACTTTGTATATCGATCGCAGAGTTACCACCTTAGCATTACCCTGTACTCGTACCTCGACGAGTAAACGATGTGCATATTTGTCCGTACGCGGCCTTAGGGAGAAAATGTGCTCTCCTTCCCTGTCAACGGGAATACTACGCAAATGCTCCCATGCCTTTCCGACGAATTGCAGTCCAAGATTGTGGTGTCCACTAGATGTCACATGCTGAAAGTGGTATTAATAGTAGTAGCCACCATATAACAAATGAGCAGTTACCTCGCGCATTGTCTTCCAATCATCAAATCTCCAGTCTATGGTCTTCCCATTTGGAATTTGTTTGGCCGTGACATCCTTCGCTTGGCTGCTACCTTCTATATCCGACCACACGAATACTGGAGAGCCTGTGCGGTTATGAATTCTATACGGTGCGTAACTTCCTCGGGCGCGCCTAAGGACGTCCTCTCCCTCTTGGCCAATCATATTCGCAGTAGCGAGGGCTAGCTCAACTAATGTCGTGGTGACATTGATGTCAAGGCGCTCTCTTGCTTCGAATCGAATTGACATCGCCCCGGAAGCATCATTTCTGGTGACCTATCACAAATCATCAGTAAGCGTCCAGTTCGGTCAGTGCCACATTTTTCACCGAAGTCGTAAATGTCCACGGGTCAATCACTGGATGAGAAATTAGAGGCAGAAGGAATACATTCAATGGACAAAACGTACAAGGTTCCCAATGAGAATTTGAAATGTTCCAGTAGCTCATGTGAATTGCCAACGTGGACGTTGCCCGTAACTGTGTAAGTTCAATAACAATATGTGTGGTTACAAGACGCGACCTACGTCGCCTGACCAATCCTTTGCTCCGAGAATGAACGGTTTAAATTTGACATGGAGCAGTGGTTGCTCGTGGAGATCCCCAATGAGTATGAGTCTAATGCCATCACAAGAACATTTGAACTCATATAATCATTTAGGTGGAATATACAACAGAAATGGAGAAAGGGCTCACTTGTTCTTTCGTGACAAGCGCATGAGCATGCCCGATGGCTCGCACCTGGGAACTTGCCAATCCGGAAACTGCGCGAGTAGCTGAAGCCACGCCAGATCGCTTACTAGACATGAAAGCGGGACGCTGAGAAGATTGGGGGGTAGATGAAGGGCCTGCATGTAACTGGCGTGCAGATTCATTGTAAAGGTTGATGGCCCGATTTACGATGTCAGTAATGAGGTTGATATCACGATAAGATGCACGGAAGACGAGAGGCTTTAGTGACACTTCTAGACTCGTTAACTGCTGAGATGAGCTCGCGCGACTATCCAGGGACATAGTAAGGTCGACATCGTCCATGAAGCGGACACTTTCTGGGGTCTCGTTGCCCATGCGGATCAAGGACATGCCTAAATGATCCACGGTCAATGCAAGGACACCCTGGGAGTATGTCTGAGCAAAATAGTCAACCAAGAATATAATCACCGACCTGTTGCGACAGTAGGACTTGCTTCACTGACAGGCAGATCGCTTGCGTTTCCAAATCCGTGTCATTCTGAAGGACACTGATTGACACATCATGCAGATCGAGCCTAAAGTCAATTCTTGAAGAATGAATGTCCTGCTCAGCAGTGTCCTCTTGAGGAGTGCTGTCCTGTGCTTCAATTTCACTATTGTGCCGTGGGAGGCTCTCCGAGAAAGGACTCAGGGCAAATTCGAGCAGAGCAATGACTGGATCGATAGCAAATATAACCTTAGGCGAATCGACATTCACCACAGCTAGAGAGGCACCATTCCCGCCCGACTTGGTAAATAGAATCATGACCTGATTGCGTTCGTGTTTGACGGCCGGTACAATTTCACGGAACCTCGACGGGCCTGGACGTGTGTTACTCATAGTCAGCGATTTAAGAACTACCTGAATCTCCATTGCACCGTCCGACAAAATTTTCAGCCTCAGGTTGTCTTCGCTCAACGCAAACTTGACGATCCCGTGTTCTTTGAGACTGGATTCTGTTGTCGCCAGGCGATCGTATAGATGCAACCTCACCGCATGAATAGTTACAACAGCGTCAACAGTGGTCCAGATACTGGAATCCTCAGACGGTCTAACGAGCCGCAATTCAGGCTGCAGATCAACGCCTGGAACAGGTGGGGAAGACGTGTTTCTCTCAGCATCAGGTGGAGAGATAGCAAAGACTTCAGTAGCCTGGACAGTCCCTTCTGGAGCACCTGCCAATACCTTCGGGATCGACTGAGACAGGGCAACAAGCAGATGGTATTGTACTTGGGTGAGATGGAGTCTAACGTCTGAAATATCCACCGTGACCTGTGTATCTTCGTCAGGAAAAATCGCTTGTTAGTCACGTCAGTCCATACCTGCGTATCTGGACGTGTAACGTCCGTTGTACGATCAATTTTGCTCGTCTGCGTGACCTGCGCATTAATATCAATGTCATCCACGATCTTTAGGACAGACGGTTTGCCGTTGTCGTCGATATACAGCTTTGATGCTAGCTGGATTCCGTGGAGGGTTGCCATGGTCTGGTTTGTAACACCTTCGTAATTATTCCTAGCTCGAAACTCTCCAAGACGTAACTCGAGCACGTCAAGAGATCCATCGGGATTCGAAGGAAGCACAATGATGGGTGTCTTGACAGTTACATCGAACTGCATCCGCTCGATCTCCGACGCCCTCTGTACGGCTGCTTGAGCAGCGGCATCGTAAATTCCCTTCAACTTGGCAAGCTTTGACATAAAGAGATAAATGTCGTGTAGACATTGCTCCAGATATTGCAGTCTCAGCGATCCGGCCGTGAGCTTGATGATGGACTTAACCCCGGTGTAAGTCTCCTTGTCCTCAGGATCGAACGTCTGGTATTGGAAATCTGCAAAATTCTCCCCTTCAATGGAAAGAATCTGTTTGAAAGAGGGAGAAGCGGTGTCCATGTCGGAGTCATCGATAACATCTAAGCTTCCCAACCTTCCCCCGATATGCATCTTGTTAGCATGTAGGAGGATGGCGACATCAGCCGTGGATAGAGATAAAGTTGCAATTCTGACGTCGTCATTGATGAGGATCACTTAAGACGACGTTAGTATCATGGAGGAAAGTTCAAAAAAACTCATTTACCTTGAATGCTAGCCAGCTTAAGTGAGACTTTGATTTTCTCCGTTGATCGCCGTTCCTCGACTACCTCTTGGGTTGGCCCAGTTGGGTCATGTTGGACCTCGGGCGAAGGAAGAACACTATTCTGGTGCTTCTCTGGGACAAAGGTAGTCATGATGAACTCGTACATAGAGAGTACGGGCTCTGGAACGGCACGAAAGACGAAGGTTGTGAATTTGACGTCTACGTTTTGATCCACTCCCTCGTACAAGGATAGAAACTCCGGGGACCTCGGCTGCACTCGAACATACTTGACTACTAATAAATCTCCTCCGGAACGCCCAGCAGTCGAAGAGATGCACTCCGTAGGATTTCTCCCAGCCTGGAACACATTCATCGACACTGAGCTAGGAATTACGTTAAGAGTCGTTCGACCCAATGGAAGAAGGACGCACCTCAGACTGATATCCACGGTCATGACGTACTTCGCCATAGTAAACATCATAGAAAAACGTTCAAATGTTACATCACCCATGGGTCGGTCTGCACCGTCTGTACTGGATTGAAATAAGGACGCTCGCAATACATCCACTTGAAAGTCAAACTCGAATATATGCTGATGCAATGCCGGATTCTTTGCACGCAATTAGAGTTTATTTCATGTTGGATAACGTACTGTGACTCACCTTTGTGGCCTCGTCGGTTGCATCGAAAGACTTGTCCAAATTATCCTGGCCATCATCGGACGCAACCACTGTCGTGCTCTGATTATCGTCACTGTCTTCTATATTGTATTCAGTGTCTGGATTACCAAACAGACCCCTGAAGGTGTAAGGCAGCTGAGGACCAACAATGGCGATGGTAGATCGACTCTCAGAGGTCTCTGAGTCTTCGTCGTCGAATTTTGGAATTGACACATCGATCAGACGCATGAGAGACTTATACTTGCTGTCTGATAAATTGACTTGTAGGCTAGGCAAATGACCAGAAACCTTGTACTTCGCCAGGTTGTACGCCAATGGGACGATGGAATTGTGCACTTGTAAATCCAAGTTGATGCGTTCCAATAGGTGCAGATTATCATCGTGGTCGGAAACGAGAGCATCCATGCACGATTGGAGGTCGTTCCCGACTAGGAACTATACTGGACTTATAACGCGAACCAACTGGATTGGAAAAGCGCGCACCTGGGCATCCTTCAGCTTGACCGAGAGCCGATCATACATCATAGATTCCAAACGCTTGTAATCTTCTTCTTGGTATTCTTGCTTTCGTTTATTCTGGATCTCTTTGATCGCTTGTTTGTTCCCTAGTTCGCTCCTTATTGCAATATGACCGGCATCAATTACCAGATGCTTGCATTCGTTCGTAGTAACACTAGATAATACTTCAGATAAATACTGCAATGAACACGCAAAGACTCACTCCTCAGGCACGATGATGATGGGTGCGTTTAGATCCATATGAACGTCAACCGTCTTATGAGTTTGGAGGGCGTATTCGAGTCCTGCCCGGGTTTCTTTGCGCAGTCCTTCGAGCGTTTCGCTAGCCACGTTCTACATTAAATGTCAGTTTTTAGTATGTGTACCCGAACAGATCGAATTACCAAAAGAGCTTCCACCGACTCGAGCTGACTGGCAGGAGGTTTGAAAAACTTGTAGATCGCTTCGACATAGCCCTTATGATACACAATTTCCATATAGCGCATTCTCATTTCCAGTGCACTGTCGGCACGTCCATCGAGAGGGTTCTGCTCAAATCTGACGAACAGGAAGGGATCAACAATTTCTGAAATTCGGTTCCCTGTGCCGACGCTCTGCGTTCTGAGGACATCGCCGCCGTCCTTCCTTTCCTGGACACGCACGATCCGATTATAAAGTGTGCTCTTAGTTGTGCCATCGTATACAGTGAACCCGCCTAACGACACTGATGCCTCGAAGTTGTCTGGTCGTTGAATAAATGTCACCTGAAAGACGTCAGATACGGCCGAGATGATTTCTGTATTTTGGCCGTGAGGATCGGTCTTCAAGGTAAACGAGCCTCGATTTAGCTGCGCTCCAACTCGAGTCTTCAGTGCATCCCGAGGAGCTTCAAGTGATTCTGCCAGAGCGGCCTTTTCGTCATAGTCAAGCGCTTCATAAAGCTGTTTCCGCTGCTCATCCGTCATTTCTCCGGTGAACGCAGAATCATCGGAGGCAGTATCTGCCGACTCGGTGGATGAGGAACCCCATATCCAACTAGACCAACTGCTTTGTGTTTGAGCTTGATTTCTTTTTCTCTTCTCTTCTTCCATCTTCTTCCGCGATGCCATATCCTTGCGGAGTTGAGAACGTACGATAGAACGGTAGAACCGAATGTCCTCGTACGAGAGCTTTCTCTCAAGTCCATCGAGTTCGGAGGATTCCTGAAATAAATCGCTATATAAGCGACAGGCAGCCCCAGAACAGTTGGGAGATCACTGACTCCATCACTCAGAGGATTGAGTTGCTTCTTCTTGAACAATTCGACGTATCGGTGCCTATCATCACGCCGCTCAGCGAAGTAGTTCCAGGTCCATTTCCGTTTGCGCTCGTGGACCTCATCAAGGATAGCTCGGCCGGCAAAGCGGAACAGCGCCTTGGATCGATTTTCTTTCAGCTCCTGTGCGGAAGGCCGGTACCTTTGGTACTGAAAATAAAGTCTGAACATTGGCCTTCTGAAACTGCGACAATTAAACGCACCTGGTACTGGCGCACGTAGAAGTGATACATGTCTACGAGAGAAATGATATCTCGATACTGGTGTTCATCCAGTAAGCCGCCTATCTCATCGAACAGGAGCTGCACATCAAATCGCGGCTTCTCCTTGCTCTGTTCATGATTCATGATTATCTATATCCGAGTTATATTCATTGCAATATCGAATCAATGTCATCCTCACTCTGCCTTCACCCGTGACAGGCTTCAGAACAAATTGGTGACTGGGAAGAGTTTTGCCTTTGGCAATCTGGTTCGACTCAGTATTTGATGACATGCCTGGCAGATAGTAGGGCTTTACCATTTCAGTAAACTTCTTCACGAACTCCGTATGGGGGAGTCCAGCCATGCTCGTCGCGTCAGTATCGAAATACAGTGCTAGGGAATCTAATTTTCCCAGCTGCACCGAATCAAGTAGTCGATGGTCAGAAGCAATACATGTGTTTGATTCACGACAGAATGAATGAGATACCTTATGAACTGCACCCGCCTTACTATCGATGAAGGCAGGTTCCCATCTTTCATTTACAGATTGCGCTATGAAACCTGACAGCGTCGCACCGGCTGCAAATGGATGCTAGAGATTAAATATAAATACCATGTGATAACGAAAGTGACAAGGAACGCACTCCCGGAACACTCATTTTATCCTCATATCGTACATGAATGTTTTTTACGGACACCTGGACGTTGTTCACAATTTTCGTGATAAGTGACGCTATCAAGCCCTCAGACTGGGGGGCATCTGTATGCACATTCTTCAGTGTGGCGAGAAACGCCTGATGGCAGTCGTCTACCTTGCGTCAATTCTGACTGACCCCGCATATGCAAAAGTTCTGCGTTCTCCAGCCGCTCCATTTTCGCAGCATGTTGTCTTTCTTCGTCCTCCTTCGAATTGTATGTTGATTCGGAGGAAGGTACGACAAGTAGATACACGTCTTCGACCATGACCTCGACCGGCTGATTTCCCAGGTTCATCCAATGAAGCGATAAAGTAAATTTTCCCAGATGGCCTGCACGGCATGTTAGTGTGCTTGTTCCATTAATCAAACTACCGCACCTTCGATAACATCAACCGGCAGTCTGAATTTGTCAAGAGCGCCCTTCTTCAGGCGCAAGTTGCTAAGCGTTACACGTCCTGACATACGCCATCAGTCGAGACGCGCGTGGTCGTTTAGAAAACACACCTTGTCCGATTCCATAGTTCAGCTGGCCCATGTCCAGATTCTCCACATAGGGAGCAAGGACGCGATTGAAGACCTTCGCACTCTCTGTTTAGCACTCGTCGGCCCTGCGTACAACCTTGTGAACGCTCACGATGTTCAAGACCTCTTTGGCAGGGTCCGACCACCACATCTTTGCGTATCTAGCCTGTCGTTTGACAGTAGAACAGACGAGAGGGAGTTGAGTGTCTGGCCTGCAGACGCCCAGATAGACCTGGAGCGCAATAGACGCGAGGCGCGTTCCGACGTCATGCGACGGCGTACAAGTGACTCCGCCGGCGATCCGGCTCGACCTTCTGGACTGATTGACCGTGCGTTCGGTTCGACTCCCGTATCTAGCGCGGCTCGGAACTCGCGACTTCACGCGTCGCTCGAAAAATGCCTCGAGTCTGCCTGAAGCACGCTTCGTTCTTGCAGTTTGGTAACGCTCTGACCTCCGCAAGCCTACTATGTCTTGCGAAAATTTCGCTACTGGTATGGCATTCCTTGACCCGACCGGTGTACCGCGAGGGCGTTGATCAGGCATCCAGAGACACCGACATTATGAGAGCTCGCTTGGCTTAATCTTAACTATTTTTGCGGTCCCGTACACCGGAGGGTGTGTCTGGCAAGCCACGAGATGCCCGCTCAACGTCCAACGGGCTAAGACGAGTGCAACGATATCACGACTGGCGCTGATGTCTTCGACACATCTGGGTACGAGACTAGTACTGGTAGTGAAATCACATATCAGTCTGCTCACAAGACTTCCCCACATGCCCCCCGCAGTGGAGATCCCATATATCTCTTAGGCCTGTCCATTTTTGACCTCTGAGAGATGAAATTACCCTGTGTTGTCGAACCCAGCCGCGTGCTCATGTTCCTCTCCAACACGACTGCAAGTCTACAGAGGCCGCGGACGCTCTGGCAGCGAACAGGCCCCGAGTGGCAAAATTATGTCCGAGGCATGCGAACTGGCAACCAGCCCCGGACGTATGCATTTTCCCAGCCGCCTTGCAACAGGTGACGACCGAGATCAGTTCGAGAACAGACTTGCCCCCTCGCACCGATCAGTCCCGTGTAACACAGTAGCCCTCCGAGTTTCTCCGCGGAGAGTGCAATGAGGAGCGGTTGCACTACATAAATCACCATGCAGGTTTCATGAGGTCTACCAGCGGACCTGCTACTTAACAGCGCCAGCTCCCCTGCCATACTACACCACTCCTCTGCTCCGCGCTTCTCACCATGATGTCCACTATGCTCGCTCATCCTGCCCACCTTCCCCTCCACGTCGAGGCCCCCCAACCAAAGGACGTGGAACTGAACGAGGTGCGCGGTGTTAGTGCGACGTTAAGCTGAGACGGGACCTGCTAACACTTCTCTCGAAGCTCGGTGACCTTCAAGATGCGCTGGAACCCTTTGCACAGTTCGTATCTCTCCTCCGTCAGTACGAGTACCCTTCTGAATCTTGTTGGCAGATTGATCTGTCGGTCTGGTCGATCCATTCGGTTACACTGCACAGTGCCGACGGCGTGCTCATCCTCCTATCCCACATGTGTGTTCCATGTGCTCGTGTGACAGCACATAGCGGCTCACCTAGCTTATGTATAGGTCACGACCTTTACGACCTACATGATTTACGAAGCCGATCGTTGCTGTTCGTGCATAATCTGGTGGAGACGTTAAAGGCTTCTGGAGTGGGTTGCCGATGCCGTTTACGTTCATTTGAAAAAGCTGACGAAAGCTGGCTAGGTCCCCGCGTCATACCGCCTGCAGCCTTCTAACTCTCCGATATGCCTTATCTGTGCGCTTCCACTCGGTCTTGACGCAACGAAAGTCAAGGCCGCAGCCGTAGCAGCGGTCCAGAATGCCCACTTCGAATCAAAGTACGTTATATTTGAATGTGCACAGCGCTTCCTGACGTTCGTTTTGCAGAGAGAAGGCATTGTTAGCCGACTTGCAGGACGGGCTCGCACTTGTCATCACATAACGGACACTATATCCATTTCTCTTACTGATACCAGGGTAACATGACACCCGTATTACTCGATGATATCTGGCTCCTGCTCCTAGTCTGTATCTATATGCCCCTTCTAAGTCGATTTTGATATCTACGTCGCACTAGTCTCCTCATCTATACAACGCCCTCGGTGGGTAGTCGGTAATTTCTTGATCCTGCAGTTAGGAATAGACACAGCTTCGGCTCGTTCGGGTGAACCTCTGCTACTCTATTCGTGCGCTTCTCAGTGTCGTAAGATCGATTATCGAAACGTCGTCATGCATCATGCATCATGGCTCGTCGACATCCTTGTCGAATGAATTTTCCCGAGGATGTCATAACCTTGCTGGACATTTCACCCTCGCTGGATCCGACGGCACTTCGACTCGTGCACGTTGTCTGCTGGTCGAGGTGACGTAGAGGATATATTCGATCAAGTTGGCAAGGCAGATGTTGGAGTGAGATGTTGTAACATATCCGTGTGGTAATGTCTGGTGAAAAGAGATGGACAGCCTCCGTAAATTACTACTCTATGCTGACTTCGTCGTCGTCTGAGAAGCTCGGGGATGAGTTAGGCGCAAGAGCGAACGGCGTCTAATTGGGACGCTCCGGGAACCGAAATTTGCAGTGTGAAACCACGCGCTACTGCCAGCGACGCCGCGGACAGACGCTCAGGCCTATTTGAACCCTTCCTCTCTTTTCACCTGCTCCCATCTCCGACGCCGTCCCCAATGGCCCCTCTCGCTGATCTCCTCGTGCGTACCATCCCGCTCTCGCTGCCCCGCTATGTGCAGAGCTACGTGCCGGGAAAGACCCTGTTGTCGACGCAGCAGGAGGTATGGCCCACGCTCGCCGGGTACCTCGTCGTCGTCTTCATTCTACGCACGTATATGAAAAACCGGCCACCACTGAAGCTCAATGCATTATTCCAACTGCATAACGTCCTCCTCAGTTCAGGTAGCGCACTCCTGCTCGCGCTCATGGCCGAGGAGATTGCGCCTCTGTTCTTCAAGCACGGCCTGTTCTGGTCGATGTGTAGCGACGATATGTGGACGAGTGTCAGTGTCTTTTCTCCCCTGCCTGCGCGCGAGTCGAGCTGACGGTTGTGTCTAGCGGCTGGAGACATACTATATTATCAACTATTACTTTAAGTACCTTGAGCTCCTTGATACGGTCTTCTTGGCCTTGAAGAAGAAGCCGCTCGGTGCGTCGCTTCTGATGCCCTTCTGCACGCGTTGATGCTGACGTCCGTATGTGTGTCAGCTTTCCTGCATGTGTATCACCATTCTGCCACTGCTCTGCTCTGCTACACTCAGCTTAACGGAAGGACCAGCGTGGTACGTGGCAAGCGCTGAGACATGTATCATGCGGCCGGCCTGATCGTTCATTATCAGCAATGGATCCCCATCACGATCAATTTGTCTGTCCATGTTCTAATGTGTGAGTGACCATGCGATGTGTCAAGATTCGCGTGTTGAGTGTTTGCAGACTACTACTACTATGCGACTGCTGGTGGTGCCAAGATATGGGTACGCACATGGTAACCTAACACATGCCATCAACTGACGATGGACTACTGTTGCAGTGGAAGAAATACTTGACGACTATGCAAATTGTTCAATTTGTCATTGATCTCTTCGCCGTGTACTTTGCGAGTGAGTTAACGGTCGACCTCATAGGCGTGTGGTGCTGACCATGACGTTCTCTCAGCGTACTCGTATTATGCCTCCATGTACCGATGGAACGTACCCAATCTTGGATCGTGCGCTGGGACGGAGTCTGCTGCGTTGTTTGGCTGCTTGCTCCTGTCGAGCTATCTTGTCTTGTTCATCCAATTCTACATTCAAACGTACAAGAAGCCGGGTAAGGGCAAAGGATCGCAGGCAAACGGCAAGGCGATCGCCAACGGCAATGGTGTTGCGAACGGACAGTAAGTGCCTCATAGCTGAGTGATGGGGTGGGTCGTGCTGATGGGTCATGCAGCCATAAGATGGAGTAAGGGGGTGCTTCACGGGCGTGATATACGTGCGGCTTGGGCACGCGCAAAAGCTGACGAAGAGCTCGGCGGCGGGTTCGTATCGACGATGGCGGCAGTATACCCCCGGGGATGCAAGATAAACTTTCCTGAGCAAAGAGGCGTTTACATACTGATTTAGAGTATATCCTTTTAGTTGTATATTGGGTTAAGCCCGGCCACGTTTGTTTGTGGGCGGGCGTGGAGCAGTCGGATTGTCGAGTAGCGTAGAGCGGGCAATGCATAAGCCGCACTTGCACCTGATTGGCTGTCGGATGAGATCTGATCGTGCGACGACCGATCGTGCCCTCCTTGTCCCCGACCTCGACCCTGTCCTCCTTGTCCCCTACCTCGACCCTGCCCCCTCCCCCTTTCTCTCTCCCCGCCGCGGTCGCTGCCTGTATACTGCTCTGCTGTACTCGTTCCTGCAATTTCATTCTTCTCGTCTTTGTAGTCTTTGTTGTGAACTAGTCTTGTAGCCCATGTCACGATCCACCGACCACTCCCGTACAAAATTACACTCCAAATCTACTTCGTCGCCCGACAAACACTTTCATGTCCCCATAGATCTGTACTTGTCTCCAAGAGAGGCTGCTGCTATTCGCAAAGTGTGTCGCATTCTTCGCTGATCGGAACTGCCCCTACATCCCTCTTTTCTTCAGCCTGCCGTGTTGTACAAAAGAAGCCAAGATAGACTCGACAAACCTCCCGACCCAGCCAGATCTACACGCGGTCCTGCCGACAGCGCTTCCAGGAAGGTCAAAGGTATCTTGCCGCTACTGCTTCGCTTTCCTGATCCTGAGCTCACTTTGCGTGTTGTCCGTTCACAGAAAAAGCAAGCTGGCTGAGCCTCGGCCGCAACTCTACCTCTGCCGGCCTGTGGAAACCCGCGACTTGCACGTTAGTCGAAGAGGAAGAGGGCTGTCTTCTCAATGTCTTCATAGAAGTATGCCCCATAGGTCCTGATCAACTGATATTGCTATCTGACATCATTATCATAGCAAGACACCGTACTTTACAAATCGGTCTATGTCTATCTCCTTAATCACACAGATATTCGCCCTGTACATCACTCTCTTTTTGACCGCACAAACTGTCTGGGAATCTACTGCGTTGCGTGCGTTCCACTTCCCAGTATTCTCCCCACCGAACCTGGCTAACCCGCTGGCCAGCGGCCAGACATGGTGCTCTTTTCCTCTCGTTGAGCCGCTCTTTGTACATTTCCCTGACAACGCTACTCTCCACGCATGGCTCGCTCTCCTCCGCTCCTATGCCCAGCCCGAGGCCTACGGTCGCTGGCTTGCGCCTACTGACGGCGGCCTCTACCGCATGTGGCGCCAGGTCGAGCTTACATGTCTCCAGGGCCGCAACCTCGGCGCTTCCCGCCCGCTCTCTGGCGTCTTCTCCGACGACACCTCTGCCCCTAATGTGGGCTTCGGCGTTGGTGCGTCGGGCGATCCTGACAAGGAACGTCCGATTGATCCTGGCGGGGGTGGAGGCGGTGTGTCGTCATCAGTAAGCGCGTCAGGGTCTGCATCCTCTGGGATCGCATCCCCGGACGCGCTCGACATCGACGTATATGCGGAGGTGTTCGTGAACGGTAGCCTCTGCGGACGGACGACGGTTAAGCGTGGCGTTGGCGCGCCAGACTGGCAGGAGCGTTTCGTGTTTGCGGATCTCCCTCCGTTTGAGACTCTCGAGGTCGTCCTCTGGCGCGAGAAGCGTCTCGCCCGTCCAGCGGTGCTCGGGAGCGTCATCATCGTGCTCCCGAACTTTCGCCGTGGGGAGTCGATCGAGGGCTGGTTCCCAGTCCTTGCAGGTGTGGGTCCTGGAGGTGGGGTAGACGCGGCATATATGCAAGCGGGGGAGATGCGTCTGCGGGTGCGCGTCGACGAGTAGGCTTTTATCAACAAGGTCATGACTATATGCTAAATATCTACACTTTAGGGAGATTATCTTGCCGTTCTCAGAGTACGCCGCTGTCCTTGATGTGCATATATATGCGTTATTATGTGTTCACTAGCTAAAAAGTGTGTTTTGTAGACATTTACCTCAAGGAACAGCCTCGACTGGATGCGCGATCTCGAAGTGAAATTCAGGCTAAAGAGTATAGCGCATCACATCATATCCATCGCCATTGCAAAGGACATGCTTGTTGATAACATCATGGAGCTCGCTGACCGCGAAGTCGACGGCACCCCAACATGTGAGTTCGCGTTCCTGCAGCGTGTGGGGCACTCTTTCACAGGCTCGTATTGACACCGTTCAGCACACAATACACTCTTGTGAGTCCTTCTTACCATCTCCGTTGCTCTTCGACGCATGTCCCCGGCTGCATGAGCTGATGCGACGCGATCTTAGTCGTGGAAACACAGTGCTCACGAAGACGATGGAAATGTATATGTCGTGGTACGGCTCGGCATTCCTTGAGGCAAGCATCGGTGCTACTGTACGTCGGCTCTGTGCAGAACGGGTTGCCATCGAGGTCGATCCGGTTCGTAGTGGGAAGGGATCGAAGAACGCTGAGAAGAACGTCGAGTTACTCGTGTACTGGTGCCAGGAGTTCTGGGGAGGGATCTATGACGCGCGAAAACTGTGCCCTCCGTATGTCGTCATATCACTTTCATTTGCTGTTATTGATAAAGTTATGTTACCGGGATGATAGCGAAATGCGCAGACTCTTCCAGCATGTACGCAGGTTGGTGGAGAAACGCTACTGCGTGAATGCCAATCAGAATATGGAGTTGCCACGGCAGAGCGTATCCGCGTTCTGCTTCCTTCGGTTCATAGTCCCAGCGATCTTGCACCCACACTTGTTCGGTCTTTGGCCAGGTATGCTGTGCTGTATAGACCCCGGGTTTTGCATTCTCATCGCTAGTACTCCAGGCATGCCCGAGGTCCGAGTGCAGCGGAGTTTAACACTGATTGCAAAGGTTATACAGAACTTGGCCAACCTCAATGCCGTGAGCTTTCTTCCTGTCCATTCTCACAGACACTGACTCGTACTCTGGCTTGCAAGGTGGTCCGGAAAGAACAATTCATGCGCGGTGTCAAGGACTTCCTGACTAGCAGTCTGCAGGGCATGGTAGACTACATAGCTGTCATATCCACACCCGAGCCTGAACATACAAGAGCTTCAGCGTCATCAACACTTGACAAGAACGAGGAGCTACGCATTCTGGGGATGTTGCGCCAACGCGGGCTCGCTGCACCGGTACTCCACCGTGAGGCGACACCGATCCCACCGCATCTGTTGGACCTCTCGAAGCACCTCGCCGTCCTTACCTCAGTCGTCGTGCGCCACTCCCGATCGCACAATTATGTGCCTTCTCAGCCTTCTAGTTCTGCCCCCGCCTCGGACTCCGAGCAGCAATTTGATTCCTTTTGTAGGCGATGTCTCGAGGTGGAGGAGCAGGCATTGCGCCGTGTGAGCCAGCTCGCGAGTAGGCCTGGTAGGCGGCGAGATTCTAGCGTGAGCACGTCTTCTCCGCTCGCAATGAGCGTCCCACTGCCACCGTCTCCCACGTCGCCGATTCAGATTCCCAGACGCGGGCGGCGCATATCAGTCCTGCATGGGAATCGGTCTACACGGAGGCTGCCACGTCCGCGCACCGCGCCACACGAGCAAGATGCCTCGGGTTCTCAGAACACCGAGGCGTCTGACGATGCATCTGTGCCACAGAGCCCCACGGTGGGCACCGACTACTCTGGTCCTACAATCTCGCAGTCAGCACCCGACATAAGTGCGCCAGTGCAGAGTACGCGAGACCAGACGCGTTCACTGCGTAGCCCACGACCATCCCTTACTCATCATCCACGGTCATCTTCGACAGACTCGGCGCTCATGAGCAGAGGCATGCGGGAGAGGCTATCCCTGGTGTCGAGTGGGACGCGTAAAGCTCTGTCCGACCTGCCAGACGACACGACCAGGAAGCGGAAGGGCATCTTCCGCGGAATATTGGGTCGCCGATGACGCATCGTGCTGTCTACTCACCTGCTCTTACTCCTATTATGATTCATTACCACCAGCGCAGATACGATTATTGGCAGTCAGTATATCATACATGTACTATGTAACTCCGTATATCAGTCCTAGACAAGATGGGCAGCAGAAATCGTCATGGTCATGACTGGGAGTCCGTACTCAGTGGCTTTTGAATCAATCTCTGAACTTCCGCGGCGACGTCCTCTGATGTACTCCGTACGGTAATCCGACAAAGCTATGCCATAGTCTGTGAGCGTTACAAAAATAGCGAGCATTAGCAAACGGACGCACCCGAGCTTCTCGATTTGGTTCCAGTCGCATCAGACAGCCGACCTTTCCGTCGACAGCCATGTGCAGAATACCTGCAGCGACAACATTGTTGGGATTCGGGTCGATACCCTCAAGGACATTCAAGCAGAAGCCCGACACGACCTGTCGCTGCTTCTCCCTGTCAATATGCCCAGACTCATCGAGGCCGATAGGGAATACGTTCTGCGCCTCTCGTGGCGGACCGCCAATAAGCCTCCAGCGTTCGAAGAAGTCCGCCTGGCCAAGTTTAACATGTTCCACAAACTTAGTGAGGACGATGGGCAGCCTGACTGCGATCGTCTGGTGGGAGCCAGCCAAGAACGACACGCTAAGGATGGGAGGTTTCGTGAAAGGCTTCTTGCACTCCACTTGCATGAGCTGTTGTGTCTGGGTGCGTGGGGAGATTATGCTCGGCGCAATTTTGGCAAACGTCACGGACAACGCCTCGGGCTCGTCGACGTGCAGCGTCGCGGTGAACGACGTGAGTGGAACGGAGATCTTGTTGCCCATGTACACCGCAATTTGGCCAAGATGTCCGTGGTACCGAGACTTGATTCCAATCTGTATTTGTACGTCCTCATACAAGACGCCTTCGGTGCTGTGGAGAAGTTTATCAAACCATCGTTCGACGTTGGGGCTGACGGTGAGTCGAGGGAGGCCCATTTCAGCGAGAGTTGCTGGTGCTTGTGAAGATAGGTTTTGACTCGCAGATGGCGTAACAATACTAGAGGGAGAGGCTGTTATTTCCAAGCCCATGAGTGAATTCGCGATATCAGTAGCATCATTCGGTGCCGCAGTCCCGTTTCCATTAATCTCGAGTAGCGTCGGTTTCGTCGAGACTTTCCTGGTCGCCTCTCGATCTAAGGTGGTTTCCTTGTCGCCATGTTTGACCTTGAGCCTGCCAAGGAGAGCACTTTCTCGTGGTGGGAATGGTGGGATCTCCTCACAGATATTCTGAAGCAGCTCATCATCGTCAGGCCTTGACGTGAGTGCATAGAACTCGCAGGCACGTTGTTGAAGGTCGACATCCAAAACGTGACGATATCGTTCGAAGACATTGACCAGCTGAGGTTTGATTTCAGGGAAGACGTTCACCCACTTAAGGTATGTCGATAGCAGAAGAGATCGTGTGGGCGCCACGCAGAACTGTGATTTTGAGTGGAGGACCTGGAACTGGTCCATCGGACTGTATCCTGGCTCATTTGCGATCAGATGTCCATATTCGCCAAGAATGTAACCTAGCCTCGAAGTCAAATTGTGTGCAGACGCATTGAGATGAGAAGATACACACCGCCAACTTTGACCAGACTCTCATGTGATGAAGGAGATCTAAGGTACTCGAAGACGACCTTCGCCGCGTAGGCTTGTAGATCCTCAGTGTTCGTTACAATCTGTACAACACGGTACCAGACCTCTTCCCCGACATGGTCACCGGCTGCGCTGAGCAGCTCCAGTATAGTATCCACGTACCACTTATAGGTACTCGCATACTTCTCAGTCAGGATTGCAATCTTCAACACCATCTCCTCCCGCAACCCGTAATCTGCGATCTTTAAATAACGCAGAAGTTCACCCACGATGAGCTCTGAGTTGTCCGTGTCACACATGCTGTATAGAAGGTCCAGCGCACGGCGTCGCACAGAAATATCCTTGTCACGGAGAGAAAGAATAATGGTTGCCTGGTGCTTCTTTATTGCGCCTAAATTGTCTGTACGCGCAGCAAGATGTGCCATGGTATCGAGACCAAGGTAACGCACATTTGTCTCCTTCGAGCTAATGAAGCGAGCAAGGAGCACGGCGGCGGTAGAAACGAGAGGAGAATTGGTGTCCAAGTGGATTGCCAGACTAATGGCTTCAAAAAGAATAGCGTGCTGAGCATTGTTATGTTGCACGTTCTTTGAAGGCTCTGCGCAATTGTTCATGACGGTTTGAAGAACCTCGTGCATAACATTGCGAATGGTGGTATCGTCTGGCATAAATGTCAGTGATCGATAGACGAAACATGAATCGCACCCAGACCTGAGGGTGGGTAATATTGCAGCAATCGTAACAGTTTCACTTGCAACCACGGACTGGGTACTCTATAGTACGCATACTCTGCTTTGAACTCGTGTTGGATCACAAGCTGATCATGAAGTCAGTATCCACACGTCCATAAGCCCGACGCGCACTTACACGGTACAGACGATCGACGGCCTTCTGGTAACATACCGCATAGGCGTCAAGATGATCTTGCGCCATGGCCATAACCAAACTGGTGACACAAATCACTACACCCTTCGCATCCAGTAAGGTTGAAGGCGAATCCAGATGACAAGATTCAGACTCACAAGGTCCATATCATCCATGATTGATATGATGCGCAATGCCCATTCGGCGGCGGGTATAACATCTGGGTGTTTCCTGTATAATCTGAGCAAAGTCAGAGCAGCCTTCTTTCTGACAACACTAGGCGACGTCCTGCGCGCGAGATCAGCACTAGTACATTAGACCTCGGGCGGCTACGCACGGCGAAATAAGTAAACGATGGACGTCTTCCGCGAGAGCCTCAGCCATTTCCGTCCCTCCGACGTTAGCTATCGCATGCAAAGCCAGACAGTTGCTGATCTCATTATTGTCATTAAGATCTTTGCGAATTGAGTTCACAACGAGTCGTAGAAAATCCGAGTTCTCATGCATGAGCAGGGTGACGGCGAGGTAACCCTAACTCGAGACTTGGATCAATGGATCGACAAGGCGCGCAACTCGGGCTGCTCACGATCTGCTTCTCGCTGTATTTGGAGCTGGAAATCAGATTCACAGCTTCCATATGGCCGACATCGACCTTGTAACCTAGGATATACGTGAATATGACCTTGGCGACGTATCTTGGTGAACGAGTGGGTCAATGTAAGCGCAGTCAGCGAATGCCCGACTTACTTCTTCTTTTGATACCCATCCAGGTTTCCATCTAGAGAGTGGTTCAGTATATGGTTACGACGACAAGTCGCGTTCCGATAGGGCACCTTTAAACCTCTTCCTGATATTCGCCATCTCTTTGTTGATCCTTTTCTCTTCAAGTTCGCGGACCCTCGCCCCACGTATGTCCGCAATGAACTAGACGCGTCAATTAGAGCCTGTACCGCGAAAGAGCGCGAGAGGAGACAGACCTGCGTGAGGCCACGCATATTAGTCGCCATCTTGGCGGCGTCACTCGGGCGACAGGCCCACACTCAGCTCGTCAGAGAGTGAATTTATGTGATCCAGAGAGAGGGAAGTAGAAATGTCGTATGCGCTCGTCGCCAGTGGAGGCGAGCGGGGAGACAGAGCAGGTCTGCGAGGACGAGTCTGAAGGATGGCTGAGAGGTGGGAGAAGCGCCCGTCCCGGTGGTGACCGGTGAGATCCCCGCACGATCGCGCCAAGCAGCCCCACTCAGGCTCATCCATCTTCATGGAGTCCCAGTCCGTCCCGCCTGTCCCTGTCTGTCTTCAGCATATTACCCGCCCTTTCTTTCCTCCACCACGCGCAGATTCGCAGAGCACCTCATGGCCGGATTCGACACCGTCTTCCCCGCAGACTCGGTCGAGTTCTGTCCCCACCCCGACGCAGCCAATCTCCTCGTCTGCGGCACATATCAACTCGACAAAGGCGAGGACAGTATGTTCCCCCAGGAAGACGACTGTGGCGCATATACGCCTCCAGACTCTCCGCAGACACAGTCAGAGGCAAAGCAGAGCCGGAGAGGCGAATGCTTGCTTCTCCGTGTCGATCCTGGGCATACAGAGCCATTGTGCGTACAAATTGCTTGTTAGTTATCCTCCAGGACCCCTCAACACCGGATGACAGCTCCTTGCTGCAGGAGACTTCTCTCCCCGCGGTCCTAGACATGAAATGGTGCCAACAATAATATGTTCCCCCTTTATGTTTCACCAAGGCTTTTTCCCTCAGGTGCCATACCGATCCGTCTGTCCCACCGACTCTTGCTATCGCTGAATCGGAAGGAGACGTGACATTACATACGTTGCAAATCCAGGAGGTAAGCTCGCATCGGCCGACTGAGATGTTGAGCATAGCGAGAGTCGCCCATGGTCTCGCTTGTAGGGTGCTCTAGACAAGGTCTTGACCGTACAGTGTGCACCGGAGGATGTGCTCTGTCTGTCTCTCGACTGGTCTAATCGTCGTTTCTCTAGCACGTAAGCCTGTCTTTTGAAATGTATTTTGCTTTATTTAATGCCGAGCAGTTCTTTGGGATCCCTCGTAACATCCCTCTCAGACGGGGACCTAGCTTTGCTCCGCAGCGATAGCAACACAGGCTTGACAGTCACAGAGAAATGGCATGCACATGACTATGAACCGTGGATTGCTGCATGGAATTATTGGGACAACAACGTTGTGTACTCCGGTGCGCAGTGTCTCAGCCACTGTCATTCGGCCTGTAACCGCATCCATTCAGGAGGCGACGATTTAAAGATGAAAGCCTGGGATATCCGGAGAAGCTTATCGGAACCCATATTCGTAAACAAACGGTGTGTGCCAACGCATTGCTATGACCCCCTCTTCGATGTCACTCCCTCAAATGTTTCTTTAGATTCGATGCAGGTGTAACGACTATCCAGAGTCATCCTTACATCGAACACCTCATCGCGGTTGGCAGGTAAAATTTTTCTCTAACAAGGATGCTCTCTTGCCCACGAACAAACACTATTCGACCAGCTACGACAGCACCGTCCGACTGTTTGACACGCGCAAACCGCTCACACCGCTCACGCAGGCAGAAGTCGGTGGTGGAGTATGGCGGGTCAAGTGGCACCCCACCGCCCAACGTCAGAACGACTTACTTGTCGCGTGCATGCACGATGGCTTCAAAATCGTCCGCTTTAATCTTGACGGTGCCGGCAACACCGGTTTTGCGCCGCAGGGTGACGCGCAGGTGCCGCAATGGCAAATCACGAAGCGTTTTGATGAACACACGTCGTTAGCATATGGGGTAGATTGGTCATTTGGAGGGGCGAAGGATGGTACTACGCTTGTGGCGAGTTGTTCGTTCTACGACCATACATTGCATTGGTGGAAAGGTTAGATGAACGTACAATCAATGTAACTATTTGTCTGGGTTGCCATTATTCAATGTCTTTGAGGGGCTGGCCTACTTTCGAGGGTATCAAGGATAGTCTATCATAAATTTAATAAATGTCAGTAGGAGCAGAGGGAGCATGATTTTGATCGTCTGGGTTTGGCGGCGCACTGGCTTTCCGTTTACGTTTCCATAGACCGGAAGTCGGTCCTTTCAAGACGAAGTCTACCGTCCAGCGTGATAGGCCACGCAGAGTGTCCGGCCGATGGACAGCCGCGGTCAGAATAGCGGATAACGAAAGTGCGAATATGAGCCTATTCACGAGTGCCGGAACGTCAGGACACCAGACACGCTAGTACGAAACCTTGCCAACCTTTCAATATATTTCATCGATCTGCTTCCACTCCTTAGCCACCTCTCCGGTAAACATGCCCTGATCGCTCGCGGAAACACATATAACGCGATCTAGCCTCTTCTCCGTCCTTCCTCGATCCATATACTCCCACCACAAACCAGACTTCCAACAAACGTGCATCCAAATGGCCCGTCCCAGAAGTCGTGCGAGATCCATGGGAAGAGACGGGCAAGGAACAGCGTGCGCGTAAGACATACAGCGACCCATATGGAAGAGACAAACGCGCTCAGGAATGACGCGCTTCGCAGGACAGAGAGCGTCGTACGAAGAAGACGGGGCGCTTGGAGGAGCGCCCTAGGCCGCGTGAGAAGGATAGGGAGAAAATGAACCTGGCAGGGCAGTATCTCGTGAATAACGAGAATACCGAGAACTCTTCATAACATAAAATACCAACCGGGAGATAGAGAGCCAGCGCCTCGACGAAAGCTTGAGCGCCCCTAATCGTTGCATTTGCTGTGCAGCTGCCACCTGTTACCGTCCCGTGGACCAGTTCGCATGGCAAGCCACCTAGTCCATTTCTCCCACGCACTCCAAGTGTTTTCCATACCGCATTCGCCTGTACACCACCGTAAGCCGGTAGAAGCGCAGGATCTCCCCATGCAGAAGGATACCCGAGAGTGCGAGAGATAGACGACACCAAGTCGGGCTGTACCGAGACATGTCGTCTGTAAGACCAAGCGCCGGAACGTATGGCGCGCAAGGCCTCCAAAAGACGAACATCAATATTGGCCAAGGTCATGATCCTTAAGGGCCAGATTCGTCATCTGTGCGCAGACATGAAGAATAATGTCAGGCAAACACGCACCATTTATTGTACGAGCGGGGAAGCCTATAAATACTGTATTTAGTAAAAATCACCAGGAAGCTATAGTCGGAAGACAACCTTTCAGGCTCATAGAAGAAGCACCACATTATTCTGTCAAACTACACCGTAAGCTCGGTGGAAGAGCTGTGGAGGGATTCTACACCAACCGAGCACTGCAAGCCCAAAATATCAAGGCATCCAATCTGGTCCTGAGAACTCTTTTGCGGTTCACTGGTTCTCCGCTTTTGTTTGAAGAGTCTTTATGGCCAGTCGGCATGCAGTACCTGCTGATTGCCATCTGGAACAGGGAGTCCATCGCGCGCACCAGTAGCAACAATGTCAAGTCCAGGGTAATCGAAGGTCGTATACGGGCGCGCTGTAGCTGAGGGGAAGCCGTGTCAGATAGTGGGAGTGTCAGTGGGATATCAACCCGATGAGATGGGTGTACGCGTGAACGTCTTGAGTGGAAGAGAGTGATAGCCAGCAAGGAAGAGAGCACGTTGGCTATGAAAGTCCTGTGAGAGCTCGTCAATGAAGATAGCCGGTCTCGTATTTTCGTCAACTCAGTATCACTCGCCCAGCCAGTGTCGTCGGCCGTCTTGGTATCGAGGAGGTCCCAGAGCCGCCTTAACGTTGCCCCGCCACCAACGGCGACGGTCATAGCAAACGCAAACCCGGACATGCCGAGTTCCCTACGAAGGATCTTCTTCAATCGCGCCACTCCATTTCGCCTCAATTTTGCAGATGTGAGGAATGGAAAAAGAGCGGGGCCGAGCGACAAGGAGAGTGAGAGGGCGTAGGTTCGAAGGGAGATCTGTAGAGGATGATCACGAGGGACTGGATGAGATGCGGGTCTCTTGAGGCATTTTTTCGCGTCCGAGTCCATGAGGGGGTCCGTTGACTACGCATGCACTGCTAACGAGTGCAGCGACGAGGTGGCTCACGCTGGGTGACGACTCACAAGGTTGTAGGCTGAAATCACATGCGCAGCACGATCGGGTAGATTCAAGCCACCCGATTGGCGCCAAGTTGCAAGCGGCTAGCCGCCCTCCTTGTGCGCACTCGTAGCTTCATCTGAGTGGTAACATGATGAAGGTGCCGCGCACGACTACGTATACCATGACGGTGCATTATGCATCTTCCTGGATCTCCTGCTCATACCATATACCCCCCTTGAGTGCACCTTCAAGATCTACGTCTGCAGTGCCAGACGTATTCACCTCCCTCCTACCATCGTGCCGTGGTCCACAGCGAAATTTTTCAATCTACTGGAGGCACACACACTGTACCTCACAGGGCTGAGTAGGTCTTGTGGTGCATCACAGTACCCTTGAGTTGGTGTTCGCGCACATCTACTCCACACACCGCGAGTGGTCATTGTTGTGGTATCCTCGCCTTTGCAGTCACCTGCCTCGTCCTTCGACAAAATCTATCAAAGAACGACTACGGTTCTTTCAACAGTGCCGAACAGTCTGAGTTGATGATGCTTCAGGGATGACTCACCTAGTATTACATATCTAACGGTGACTTTCAGTCGCTGTCCGTCACTGTAAGTACATTGTAAATAGAGGAAGTAGAACGGAAAACGTACGTGATGCTTCAAGGATGATTCGCCTGAAGCACCGATGTACGTAGAGTAGGAATCTAAACATCTATTGATCCCAGGAGCCCAAGCCTGAGTCTGGGTTGGGGGAGGGCAGACGTTGAAACGTTGAAACCTTTCAGTCGATATTTTTGCCCCATCTCGCATTCATCCCGCAGTGTGTGCGACGCTCACAATCTCTATCGCCCCCACGCGAAAATTTTCTTCTCTCGGCCCACAACAGCAAGTTTTGTAGGAAGAGCCTACATCCAACAGTGCAGCGGACGTGACAATTGCGATCCATAAACAATCCTCAGAAGGGGACACTCATATGATGCCCTCTACCCTGAGCATCACCTTCAATACGAAGAAAACCGCTGATCTCTAAATGTCGTTGATCGCGAAATTGAAACACGAGGATATCACGCCGCTGGCTTCAATTTGGCAACCAGCTTGGCTGGAGCCTGGGAGGGATGATCGATGATCATCGTTCACTCCCGCGCATCTCTGGACACTTTCCGCCACAACGGGTGGAACAAGGTGGAACAGTGCCATATTGCCTAGCTACGAGGGACAATGTCTCGTGCGGCACAGCACGGCAGATAGATTAGAGTAAGTATTGACGCAGACCGGCCAAGCTGTGCCAAAGCGTTGAACACCATCTGCGATACTTGCAATCACTGCTACACGTCGACGGAACACGCTACTGACGATAAAGCACGAGCACGGAGATTATATTTCTACCTATACAACGATTATCTGCAATAACGCTACAAATAGCAGAACTTGAGACACGTAGGCCAGTATATCATGGTGGTCAATGGGAAGAAGAACAGGTCAGATTGTCAGTCTGATGAATTGCATGTAGGGGATAGAAGTATGCTTACTTATGACATTTAATAGGTAAGCTATAGGTTGGTATGTCACTCGCTAGAGACTTCGGGCTCACGCTGCCCATTGAGTGTTAGTAAAGACCTACTACAGGATTTCTTCGAGCCGTTACTTACGCGCCAGTCAGGTGCACCGGGACCTCCGGTTTGGCGCTGTGGATGAGAGCTATGTCATTATGTGCTTAGGAACTCCTCGAGGAATAACTTACGCGCCAGTCAGGTGCACCGGGCCC